AGATTTTAGGGATTTCAATAGTTGAAATCATGAGTTAATTGAAGCTAGACCACCATGGAAAACCTTGAAGCACTGGATGGCAGTTTCGTCCCAGTATGAAACTTCTCAGCAGTGCGCACCCACGACATCGCCCCCCTCGAGATCCCGACCCAGGACCTATCAGTCTGGCCCACGAGTGCTCAACCATTAGACCACTGAGCCGGCATCCAATGGTGTTAATGTCCAACTTCGCATTCGCGCGCAAGACTGATATGTAGGTTTTCCATGGTGGTCTAGCTTCAATTAACTCACGATTTCAACTACTGAAAATTGTGAATTCACTGAAAACGGATGCATATGGACGTTTTATTTTTGTTGATTTTGACTATCTACTAAAAATAACCATATTTTGGTTGCCTAATATTAATACCATATGATACCGTATACAAAGGCATGTATGATTCAACATTTCTGTAAATGTTTTACCTGTAGTTGGTCAAAATCAACCAAAATCAAACGTCTATATGCGTCGGTTTTCAGTGAATTCAGAATGGATAAACAGAAAAATGTTATAATTTTCTATTCATAATGATGTTCATACGTTTATTTATCAATATAATGTGATGAATAGAGATAATTACCTATTTACTTAAAAATACTGTTGTTTGTAGCAATATCTTTGCAATTGATTGATCACTGACTAGTGAATAGTGTCGTGCTTAACTTTTTCTTTGATGTTGGCCGAGATCGATCAATCAAGTTATATTCTGATCACTAATTTAAGTAGACTATGTTAATATGTTATGCGGTTGGAATTCATTTAAACAGAAATCTCACTTGACTTGAGTGTCATGATATTCGTTAGACGTCAGTTAGTTGTACCTGTATTAATGAGCAAAATGATGCTTATTGGCAGATTTGAACTCGCATTATCAAGACTCATAGTCCAACAAATTACCACTAAGTTATTTAAACCGTGTATGACCTACTGTATGACTAAGATATTTACACCGAAAGGTTATATATTGATAAAAAGTGGAATTTAAAGAATTTCATAATGATTTATGTATTAAGCTAATATCATTATTATTGTAACTATTGTTTAAGAAGAAGAATGTTAAAATCTTATGATGTTGTTGATAATTATTTCTACATTAAGATTTGGTTAAGTTACAGTTTTTAAAAAAAATATGTGTTCAGCTTTAAGATAAATAATGTCAAGTCACTCAGACTAGTGGTCACAATAAAACTTGATCGATAGAATATGATCAGCAAATAAGAAGGTAACGCGATGGAGTTTGAAGCAAACGGTAAATGTTGAATCTGAGATTCAGGTACATTCAGATGATGAGTCACGAATAGGGCGCAATGCACGTCCTCATTTCTATATTCCATTTAATCTAATCTGCAGAGGATCCTCATATGCCAACCGAGTCTGACCAAATTTCAGTCAAAAATATCAACGACGGGATAATCGAATTATATACTCAGTGATTAGTTAAGTTATGCATTTCATTTCTACAAGAGATTAATCACATATCCCAGTGACAATGCCTCTGGGATACCTTGTAGGAATACTATAGAGGTTATCGCCCCTCTCAAGATTCAAGTTACGCCTTGTGGACGTATGTCAACTAGCATGAAACCATGATTTAAAGTCACTTGTTTATTACCTTCAACCATCTAATTTCAAGAATAATGGTTTGAGTTATACCATGAGTTGACATCTTATTGTAGCTAAAATCCTATAAGTTGGACTGTTCTAGAGGAAACAGTTCATGAGTATAATTTTTCATTTGAAGCTTTGTCATCATGAACTTAGGTCATTTTGAAATCAGTAGAATTTCTAGAACTAAGAGAATTGTTGGTATACATGTACAAGTGGGTGAGAATATTGAAATAAAATTCAGCTAAGTATGCATGGTAGATGTTAACGGCTTCAGAAAACTAGAAGAAATCATGTGAATCAGTTTGCTGATAAATAACACTGTTTGCTTTTTACCGACGATTATTCGAAAAATGAGATTTTATGCCAAAAGTATTGTATTTTCTAAAATTTACGTCATTAACAAGTCGTAGTTAGACCATTACTGGGAATCCAGAATCACTGAAAAGCCTTGTCATCACAGTATAGAACTCCTTAGAAGTGCATATCTACGACTCGGCACCCGGAAATTGAACTTGGAACTTTCGGCCTCGGACTTTAACCCTGAACCTTTAGGCCACTGAACCGGCGTCCAGTGAGTATGTGACAGTTATCCACCTCTGAAAATGAGTAAGGGTTACGCAGCAGTGTGAATTGGTCATAGTCAAACTCGTATACCATTATACAGCGACTCAGTGGTCTAATGGATAAGCAATTAGGTGCGAGATCACAGGTCATAGATTTGACTCCCAGGTGAAGGTTCGTGGATATGCATTGCTAAGGAGTCTCTCACTGAGACGAAACAGAAATACAGTGCTTCCAGGATTTCAATGGTGGTCTAACTAAGATTAGTTAGTGATTTAAACTATGGAATTTCTACAATCTTTACAAATCCTCTAGTACTATGAGTTTGTTGTATTTATTGAATTGTGAGCATTAGTCTAGAAAAATTCTATTTCTCACATAATTAGTAACATTTGATGTAAAAGCTTTTAGTTTTAGTAAAATAATCAACACGTAAACTTAATGACAAAAGAAAATTAGCAAGATTATTCTTTCGAAAGGAATTTGAGTGTAAATTTTCAGCCAAACTAATTATTATTACAGTAGGTGATTGGAGGTAGTCACTAGTATACCATCAATCTAGGTTTTAATAATATTCGCAACTTGTCACAACGGAGTACATCTGAAATCTTGAGAGAAATTCTAGCCTTTTGATGTATTCGGATTCAAGTTAAACAGATTTATCGTTTGATCCATCATCACTGAGTTACTCAGCTTGAAATGAACAGGTTAACACGAAAAAAATTTAATAAACATGAAATTATTTACTACTTAATGATCAATCAGTTTTAATAATTATTACTTCTTGATTACTCCATGGTTGTTTGTAATTTGTTGTATTTATATAAGAAAACTTAAACATTTTTATTGTTGCATTGTGTAGTTAAAATAGATCTGTTTTTTCTTAAAAAGAAAAAGGATCTGTTAATCTGCATGGAATTTAGGAAATTGAAGAAAAGAGCAATATTAGTGGAAGTTAGTGTTTAATCCTAACTGTTTCAACAGTGTCAATAGGGTATCTCATCTATTAATTACAAGTTTACATATTTGGGGTTAAGTCAAGTGTTTTATTCATATTCTCTGGTTATACTAGTAGGCTGTTTAAACGGAACTAGGCTGTGAAATCATGGGACATTTAATCTGGTTGTCAAAACCTAAGTTGTTTTTTTTAACTAGCCAATAACAGACTGATCAATTGCAGTCCTAAACCTCAATGGGAAGATACAAGCCAAACAATACCAAGTGAATTTAAATTCACCCCATTGCAAAAGCAAGTGGTTATAAGGACTCAGTAGCTGAGTGGATAAAGCGATGGCGTTCGAAGCGAATGGTACTATGGTTCGAGTCCCAGAGTGAACATCAACTCTGAGATGCAGGTACGTCCAGCTGACGAGTCCCAAATAGTATGAAACGCGCATCCCTGATTCTAGTGCTAGCCCCTATCCATCATTGCTTACAAAAAGCTTGTGAATTAATGCAATATCGAGGCATACGCTCAGCATGCACATATGCAAATAACAAACTGATCAATTGCAGTCTTAAACCTCAATGGGAAGATACAAGCTAAACAATACCAAGTGACGTTGTTGTTTAAGTTACTTATACGGAGATACTCTATAATGTATGCATAATGTGAAAATAATTCTCGTTATGGATGGGTGTATTAGGCGTCCAAACACGAGGAAACACTAAATAGTTCAATTCACTTGATGTTTTTTACTTGTATCTTCCCATTGTTATTTAAGACTGCAATTGATCAGTCTCTTATGGGCATATATGTGCATTCGGTTTCAAATTTCTTTTAAAATCGAGATTATTTTTATTGATTCTGATCAGCTTATCCCTATAAAGTACTTTCGTGGTGCATGTTACTCATGCTGACAGGTATAAGTAGTATGCAGCAGCAATCGGAAGTGGAATGTCTGCTAAAAGGAAATTGAAGAGAAGAGAAAAAGGAAGGAGAACAGAGAGGAATCGAAGTGACAACAGAATAAGAAGAATCTTGAAGTATGCAAAGGACAACTGGGTGAAGATATGCGAATAATGTATTTAATGTATGGTTTTCGTATTATGTATATATATATAATTAAATGACAACAGAATGGCTATGTTGTTTATTGAATGATTAATTAAGGAGTTTTAGGAAAACCGAAGTTTATTAAGTGGCTAATGATCATCGTCTATTGCTCCTGACTACTTTATCACGTGTACTAATAAACTTAATATTTAGCGAAGTATGATCACGTCATATATTTAGTGTCTATACGTAAAGGTAATCTTCAACTTTATTAAGAAGTATATAGGTTGATGCAAATGATTTAAGTAAATGAACAGGAAAACAAAGGAATCAAAATCTATCTAATTATCTTAACTTCGATAGCATACGTACTGGACTAATCTATGGTAATCACCGGCAGCTAAGAATTAATGAACAGTTGTTTTGCCTCCGTATAGGAACTAAATAGTGCGCAATCAAGACACCAGAGTGGGCCAGGCATACGATATTGAAGTCTTAAGGCAATCCATTAACCTATTATAGCAATCGGTTGGTATTTAATGTTCTGTATGTCTAACTTCAATCAGTTTCCAATATTCTGCCTCATGCCTAAAATGTTTGAATTTCACTAATTAAGCATTTTTACAAGAGAGCTCCAGGAGTTACCTTGAGAAGTTAGTCACTCATAAATGTATGGATTATTATTACTATAGAGGGCTTTGTAAACATTTTTTAGAATGTTTATAGTTTACATTATGTATTAATAACTTGGTTTAAAACAATCATTGACAGTATAACAGAAAATATACTACTTACAAAATTATCAGATATCATGTTTTGATTATGATAACTTCCTGATTCATAAACTTCTGTAATTGGTAAAGGATTTAATTGACCAGATTTATTATTATAATTATCATTAGGACTAGTAGTATTTTCTTTTAGTTTACTTAATTTCTTTGTTGTTAATTGTGAAAAACGTCGTTTATTCTTTAAACCAAATGCACTTAAATGAGTAATGAATGCAATTGATTTCATTCTTGAATTATGATGTCGTGATGATAGATTTTCACTAGATGAAGATCTATATTTATTCAGGGTAGACTGTAATGGATGAACATAAACTGGATAACAAGTTGGTTCATTTATTGTTGGTAATGTTGTTGACGTCTCTGTTAACATTATATCAGTTGTAGGTTTATTATAGGATTGAAAATTGGGAGATGTAGCATCGAATAATGTTGAACCATTGAAATGATTTGTATTAAAGTAATGCTGATCAGTCCAATCTGTCAAATGAATTAGAAAAAAGAAAGAGCAAACAACTTAGAAACAAATAATAAGAGTTACAACAATTTACACAAAAAGAATAAGAAAAATTTATAAAATTGTTTCGTCCTACTATGAATTGTCGGATTAATGAGTAAAGAATAACAATTCCATCAGAAATCGGAACCCAAGGAATTTTCTAGCTAATCTGTGGGAAGAAGACTACCTTTGAAATGCAAGGGGTACAAGGGGTAACAGGAGTAAAGAAGAAAGAAAGGTTCACATTACTACATTGTTTTATAACAGAGAAAAGAAATTATCAAAACGAATTCTATAGTAGTAGACATGTTGAAGGTATGAGTGGTAGTTGAAAAAGAATATGAATAGATGAATTTGAATCATCCCATTCAATGGTCAAGATAAGCGAATAGATCTCAACCAATTGATTTGCACCTAACAACAAAACCCAATTCATGAACTGATGTCACTTCTTGGTTTGACCACTTCTAACTTTTATTTTTCTAACTTAAGTCTCCATCAAAAAACATTGATCGTCAAGGATACATAATAGTCATCCTAATGATCTCAGTACATGAAGATTTCTTATCTCGTCGACCTACTTTCACCTTCTACGGTAATAAATTTACCTAATCAAATTTTAATAACTAGTTAGATTAACTATTAAGTTCAGTTGGTATTGTTTACTTGAATCTTCCCATTGATGTTTACCACTGCGATTGATCACGCACTTATTGGCATGTGTGCATCCTGTGCCTGTTGCCTCAATACTGCTTTAATTCATTATAAGCAGAGGTGGGTATGCCAATAAGAGACTGATTAATTGTAGTGTTAAACATCAATGAGAAGATTCAAATAAACAATACTAAGTGAATTTATTAACTTCACCCCATTTCACAAGCAGGACTCAGTAGCTAAGTCGATAACGCCATGGCATTTAAACCGAACAGTACTGGGTTCGAGTATCAGAATGAACATCAACTCGGCGATACAGGTACATCCAGCTGACGAGTCCCAAATAGAACGAAACGCGCGTCAAACATGATTCCACTGGTAGCCATTATTCATCGTTGCTTATATTCACCATTGTTTACTTATCATCTAGATGATAAATTATCATTTTAAACAATATTAAATTTATAATTTACTAACAATCTTATAGAAAGTTATATTTTCATGCAGATATCGGTTGTATCCAATTCACAACATACATAAAAACAAACATTGGAACAAGAAGGCACTAAATACATATGCGCCATATAAATCATTCAATTTGTGTAAAGTCTGTGATACTGCCTAGGTGCCCAGATCGAAGCAGATTCAGAACATACATTACAATAGATTATGAATTAAAACCAATTTGTATACTCGAAACCATGTATGCATAACTTGAGAATGTTTTCGGTCATAAAATTGATAAAAATCAACTATATATTTCAACTGATCTATTTGAGAATTTCCGTTTTACAAACATAATCTATTTAATTGATTCATAATGAAAAAAATCGATAATCTTTGGATATAATTTATGATAACAAACATATATATATATATATATATATATATATATATATATATATATATATCTGAAGACCTGAACGCCTTATTTAGTCTCTAGTCAAAATGATTTGGTAATAACCATATTAAATACATTAGAACAAATGTAAGTGTATTTTATAATTGACAACTATCAATAGTTTTACCTTATGAATGGTGTTATTATTTTAGTTTAAGGAGGAATAAAATGGATTATTATCATTTATATAATAATAATAATAATAATAATAATAATAATAATAATAATAAAACAATAGAAAATCGATATTTTAATCAATATTAGGAGACTGTATAGTAACTATTATATTTAATAATTAATGCAATAATATTTCAATGAAAAGTTTATAAAAAAATTTTTCTTTACTGAAGTAGAATAATGACTAGTAATGGAATTTAAGGAAAAATTAAGTTTTGTCCTATTGGATACTTGTAAACAATTTATTAGTATTAGCTTAGATACAAAGATTCAAGAACAATATGTTTCGTTTCAAGCTACAGAGAATCAGATTGATTATGTTTGTATTATTAAAAATTCCGAAGGACAATGGAAGATATAAGGATCAGAAGGGGAACTGATATAGCTTCAGATTACCATCTGGTTGTGGTTGACAAGATAAAACTGAAGCTATAAAAGCATCAGACAACTAGGGAAATAGCAATACAAAGGTTCATTAGACTTCTTTAAAGATACTCAAAAAGTCAACGAATTCAAGATGACTCACAACAACAGGTTCTAAGCTCTTTAAGATTTACTTGAAGAAAAGGAAACCACTATAAATGAAAATTGGAAAAGGATCAAAGAAGCACTAACTTCAACGTGTTAGGAGGTTCTGGGCAGCAACAGGTATCATCATAAGGAATGAATCTGTTTGAAAACCCCGGACAAGATTCAAGAAAGGAAGAATAAGAAGGCAGCAATTAAAAATAGCAGATCAAAAATAGAAAAAGTCAAGACACTCAACCGCAACCAGTGGAGTTCATCCGGGTCTGTGGTGAGATAGGAACTCACTGATAACAGTGGTGGACGGTTAGGTAACTCCGTGGATTGCTTGAAGTTAGACATTAACACCGGTGGATGCCGACTCAGTGGTCTAGTAGTTAAGCTCTCGCGTGTGAGACTGATAGGTCCTGGGTTCGATTCTCGCGGGGTGCGGGATCGTGGATGCGCACTGCTGAGGAGTCCTATACTAGGACGAAACGGCCACCCAGTGCTTCCACGTTTTCCATGGTGGTCTAGCTTCAATTGATTTATGAATTCAACTATCAAATTACTATAATATACACAAAAACACCCTTCTCTGATTATAATTAGATTTAGATTGATTCAGTTGCAACAATGGTTGCTAAACAACCATTGGAAATTAGGGTATGTTAAATGCAAATATCACAACTTAGGTCGCTTATTATCAAGATTGTACAATATCAAACTCATACAAAAAGGAAACCGGGTATTTCAAGCAGTGTCACAAATATATTACCAATTTAATTCCTCCCCTCAATTGAGTTTTATTCTCATGGTTTAAACTTTCAGATTAATAGGATAACTTCAGGTTATATCGTTTTTTTGTTAGTTAATAATTGTCCTTACACGCACGAATAATGGTCATGACATTTGCTTCAATCTATATATGTTTTTTATAGTGCTTTTTGCTATTAATTGATCGGTTGTTTCTAACTTTAATTTGCTAATTTGTTGTTATTCCATTACAAATTTAGATCTCCTGAATATCATCTGACTTTGCTCTAACTTTCACGAGGTTTAGGATTATAGCTAAAGCATTGTATGTTGTCAGATCTATTGATTTCGCTGTTACGATGGCTCCCAGAAGGTGTGATGAAGCCTTCAAAGGATTTAAAGCAGTGGAACAGATTAAATCCAAGCACAATCCGATAAAATTTTCTAGAATATTAACGTGACATGCTGTGATTGAATAAATGTATAAATTTTCTACGTACGGATTGGCTGAATTATAATGATGTTATAGCCTTTACCAACAACCTTAAATTGACTCGTATTTCTGTACATTTTCGGAACTTACTTTAGTAATGCTTTTCCTGTTTACTTCTATCTTTTCGATTTGCGACTTGGGGATTCTACGCATTCAAGTGTTGAATTTGTAAGCCATATTGGCTATAACCAAGTAACAGACTTAATATTTGCATGGATTAATTTACTTATGACAAGAAGGGCTAAATAAGCATGATATTAGTCATTACCCTATGATCAATCGATTTGTATTTGACCTCTATTTAACCTGATGGATATGGATTACTGAAAAGCTAGAGAAATATATTTATTATTTCGCAATTTTTACTGATTCATAGGTTGATGATGATTGGAACTGATTTACCTACTTAGGCCTGTTACCCTTAGTGGATGAGCATAGACGTCCCGCAAGCATTTTCCATCCAACTCTGTCCTGGGAACTGCTTTTCAGTTCTTTTCAGTTGCTATTCATCCTTTATTATTGTCACTAATATTATTATTATTAATGGCTTTATTTAATATTCTATTTTTGGTACAATCTAGAATTCTCAGCACAAGTATTTTAACAAGTTTTCTTTCCCTATTTCTTGATCGATCCTGATAATAAATATGGTTTGATCGACAGTTAGAAGTTAGCAGTTCAGGAATCGACATCTGAATCATGTTTATTCTTTTCAATGCATATTGCCAGCAACCACGATATCTCTGATTGCGCTCTTTTGTAATTTGTACAGGGAAATGTAATAAACGTTTCATAAGACTAATAGACATAATCATATGTTAAAACAAACAGAACAACAGATAACTTGTTGAAATATACAGATAGCAGGAAAAGGTTGTCCAGTTTTCTCTGCTCTTCTCCGATATTTTGTCTGGATCAACGGTTGTATGAAATATAAGTATTCGAAAAACCGTTCTCATATTTGACTTATTGGATTCCGTTATTTAGTAACGCGATTTAAGTCGCTGATTATATACGAGGATAGACGACATATACATTTCAATAACAATCATGAGTTGATTGAAGCTAGACCACTATGAAAAACCTGAAAGCACTAAGCAACCGTTCCATAGATTAGTTGAAGTTCGACATTAACACTGTTCGATGCTAGCTCAGTGATCTAGAGGTTAAGCGTTCGTGCACGAGACCGATAGGTCCTAGGTTCGAATCATGTAAGATAAGATCGTGGATGAGCATTGTTCTTAATTCATTTAAACAGTACAATTTGTAAAAGATACAACATAAATCACAAAAAAAAAATTACGAATTTCATTTTATTAAGAAATTTGTCGAACTTAACACATACACACACACACACACGCACACACACAAAGAAACTCAATTCATTTTAATGGACAACTCGATTTTAATTTACTATAAAATGGAGATTTTTATTGTTGCTTTGAGAAAACAGAAAGAAAAAGGAAACCTAGAAATTAGATTGAAATTGTATTATT